CTATGCTATGTACAAGCCAGTTCTCTAATGTCCCAGACAAATTTGCTAGCAATTTATCGTCCTCGAAGGATAGAAGGCTACGCAGGGTCACGGAATTCCGTCCTGCTAGGCGTATCAATCCTACACGTCTTAGGGATTTATCGTACCAACTGCTTTCAAAAGCGGCACCAGATTTGTCCGGGAGGATATAAGCACCGACTTGTACATAGGCTGACCCCAGCAAATAATTTTATGGGCCGAACCGTAATCGTAGCCACTACAATTCTGAGTAGAAATAGAAGCGTCGTGCTTCACAAGAAAGAAACGATCAACACCGGGAGCTTTGCTTTTATTCTATTTTATCTTTTCGTTACAAGTTACCGATGATTTCGTCAACGCGTTCTTTATCAGCAGCCAAATTGTTGTGTTGACGAACGAGACGATTCTGATGCCGCGAAAGAGCAAAATCACGATAAATTCTAATCAGAAAGTAGATGGTCTTGACCAACCCCTCTTAGACCAGTCCTACACATTCGACACTTTTTTGACTGACAGGCACCCTAGCCTAGTTTGGACTATGGCCTTTTGATGTGCATACCTATAGCGGTTTGATTGATTATCCTCTCCTGGACCACCACCGACGAATTTTTACCTATTTTACCTGATTTGCAGGATGTGTTTCAGCATGCCCTATTTTCGCTTTCTTTCAATTACTTTCTTAGCTTTACATTTTCGTGAATGCTTTTGAATCGCTTCTGTATATGGACTGCTTTTTGTCCTTCCCCACACTGATTAGCACGAAGGTTGAAACTTCTAATTAGGCTCGTTTTGGCACGTGCCTACGTGTAGGGATCCCAATGTGCGAGAAGTTATCAGACGATCACATGTTTCTAGAGCTCCCATAATTCTAGGAACTCAGTGATAGGAAACCCCTTAATCTGGGCGATGTTTATACCAAAGATTTGATGCCCAGACCATGTGTGCGACAGCGAGACTTGCCATCACCCGGTGGACATGAAAATCGTAATTTACCGCTTTCGCAATACGCGGCGAATCCTCGATGTGTAGTGGTTTGCGACTAGAGGAGCGAAAATCATACGAGTTTGAAGACAGTCCCCGCGCTCAAGTAGTACATGGCTGTCCTTCCTTGTGCATGTAGTACAGCCCCAAGCTAGAGACTATCCACTCCACAGCGAGCGAGGAGCGAGCTACAGCCGCTGAAAGTTCTAGTTCTAACGCCCGCCCAGTTGGACCGCCCACTTGCTAGATGCCCTCCGACGGAGGGCCGCTCAGTTGTTCTTTGTTGGGGCGGCGGGCATTAATCGGAATTGCATGTCCTTTTTGCTGACCGCGCTCGTGCCCATGAATAATTCTGCTCTCCTTTATTACATTTTATTCATTAGGAGCACATACAGTCAACTCCAACCCATCTCGCAAGGTAAAAGGCGTAAAAATCACGAGCGACCCGATTTCCATGGTGTAAAAGCTCGACGCACTACACTACACTAAAAGATGCACGCTACCGTAACCCTAAGTTCGGACGCCGAGTTTTTAAAAGTTTCCTTTTCTTTTCAAGAGTTTTTCTTCCGTGTTTTTGTTGTTTTTCGTATCTTGTCTTTGCATTGGATTATGTCCATTACTGGGAATTGTGATGAAGGGAATTTGTGAGCCAGGGGTTGCACAGAGGCGCAGGGCGGTGTGACTGTAAGAGCAGTTTCGTTTCTAGTGTTCTCGAGGATTCTTACTGCTTTTTCTTCTTTGGGAAATTACCATCAGCTACTGTTTCATAACTGAAAAGCAACCATCCATGACACTTTTATCGCGGGAGCTGTCTTTAAGCGGAGCCAAGACTATATGGGTGATATCGGACTGATCAAGGATATCGGAATTTCCTGTCCCTTCAGCACTCACCTTCAAACAAGGCAGGTGAACTCGTCCCACAGGTGCGCCTGTTCCTCAAGCCTACTAGCGTGGCGCACTACGACGACATGTCACCATGGCACGTCGCAAGTTGGGCCCCAGCAGGGGGGGGGGTTCTTGGCACAATAAAGGAAACGATGATTCGCAATCCCTCACTGGCACACTTGTCGCCAAAAATTGTAAATTGCAAAATTATTTTAATTGAGTCACTACGAACCACAATTACAAAACTTTCCATCCATATCTATCTGTTACCCAACATAATTAGTCGGGTAAACCCTAATAGACTGCATGATGTCCTCGTCCATCAGTTTTCTGATCTACATGGCTACCAATTCGGGTGCAGTCGGCCAGATTATGATCAGAGCTTTACTTACAATAGGAAGACAAGGATGCCTCCTACCTCGAATGCTGCCTCCAAACCGCGATGTACTGCCATGGCGAACCGTTGGACTCGTACCACTCGCTCTGGTTGTTCGTCAATTATTCGCAGTCCCTCACTGGCAGCTGTCGCCAATAACGGTGGTAATGACGCCGAAAAACAGTACCCAAGACCTGAAATTGTGTTAGCCTGAACTCTGCTCCCTAAATACGAACTGCTTTCGAATCATGCGTCCTATGCGTTCTGTTGGGATGAGCAGATTACTGTGGTATGAACTAACAGCTGTTCATGTCATCTACCCTTAACATACATGAAACATGAGATGGGAGATACTTGGATTTCAGTTGAAAAACTGTGACCAGTTCAATGAGCTCGAACGCTCTACGCTCTCGTGCTCTGTAGACTGACTCACCAGAAAGTCGTTGATGGCCGACAACATAAGAACGACCGACACAAAATCCGCCGGTCGAGGCCATTGCATTCTCTAGTGATGCCATTACCATGTCCACATCGACGATCGGAACACCAAAATGTTCTGTCACACCTGTAACCACAAACTGGTCAATATTAGGCATGTATTTAGGAAACGATGCTATAATCCTGAGCATATTTATTAGTTTTCGTCCTTCTCAGGTAAATATGTAACCAGGGATTGAGTTTTCATTC